TTAGTTTGGTTACTATCTTATCCGAGTAAAGGAATTCTGATAATTATATTCGATCCTTTGTTGTCTGAATATCCTTAAATTCATCAACAAATTCTACAGGAAACTTTATTGTGATATTTGTGACACTTTTCTGTTATTTTCACATTGAAACAACATTTTTCATCAATTTTTTGTTCTCGTTATCGAATATGTGTATATGGATACACAGTGCATTCCATTTGAAACGAGCCATCCTGAATAATTTTGGTACAATGATTTGCAGGATATATAAAAAAAACACGTCAACCATAGTATACAGGGGGACAGTGTTAGGAATCACACGTTGAAAGGTAGTCGTTAGTCCTTAGCTCGCACAAGTTTCCCAACTTCTAAGAGTTGTCGTTTGTTTGGGGGCGACAGCTGAATAACGAAAAACCTATATTTGGACATATTCACATTTGATATTACTTCCTCTATCGCACCTCCAGAGTATATCACCAATTTTTTTCAAATGGATTACCATATATTGTTTCGCAACAATTTCCATCCACTGGAAAAATGATATCACATCAAGTTTTATCCAAAAAAATTTCTCAGAAATAATCTCCAACTACATCGTATTTTATAATAGTTGCGGAAACGTTTCGGAGAAACAAATTATAAAACTATATTTCTCCCAGAAATATTTTCAATGTGTTTATAAAACTGCTATAAATAGGAAATTTATAAAACATTATAGTTATTATCAATATTTTGTAAGGCCTTTTACAAAAACTACAAAACAGTTTTATGAACATTTTGGCAGTTACTATAAAATTTGTCTAATACTCTTCAAAAGTAGTTTTGTGAAGACTTCCCTTACTGCACTTTTGCAACATATTTAAGCGATACTTATAAAATAATCAGAAGACAGTTTTATAAGGGATTTTTAGTAGTTCCAAGTAAGCGTTATGAAATATAATACAGCCGAAAACGATAACAATAAAATAAAAAAGTGGTAAAAAAGTTTTCTTGAAGGCGCAAGAAGTAAATTTGTATTGGACACTAGGAAAATATAATTGATATGTCACCAACTGAAAACTAAGGAATAGAAAGGTTGAAGCCATTTCAAAATTCTACTTTTGCACTCATAAAACTGTTAAAGACATTGTTTGTGTTTCGAAGATTGATATTTTCACTGCACATGAAATTTTATTGACAAATATATAGCCTATTATTAGCAAAATTTAAGCGTGCCACTCATTTATAAATGTTTTCGAATTAAAAATATTGAATTCATTTATGATAATATTTAGAAGTTGCTGGAGAACTAATTCCCACCACGATATCGATGGTGTCCCTTGAATAACTAAACGAAAATATTCTTACTGAACATAACTAAAATTTTGAAGAATTTTCAAAACTGTGATTATGAATCGATGTCAGCTGGTTGTTCTTAAATGCTGCATTGTATTCTTGGTGGCAGCAAATATATATTAACAAAAGCAATTTGATTTTATAACAGTTATATTAGTGTTTTTGAATTGTAGTCAATATACCGTACTATAAAATAGTTGGGTAATTATCATTGAAGTGACAATATGGTAATGAAAATAAAATAGTATCTGAAAACATTCTAATGAAATAATTTCATTAAAGCTACAGGAAACAGTTATAAAATAAGTTTGAAATAGTTTTATAACTATCATAAAAATCTCGCAGAAAAGTGTTATAAAACTGCTACATAACAATTCTCTTTTATAGGAAAATAAGTTTTATAAGATAGTTGCAAAAACGTTTCTGTGATAATTTCCTGACTATTTCATAATGGATTTTTAATCTTATTTCATAAACGTTTCTATGACAAATTTATAAAACACTTTCATTGCTTACAACTGTATTGTGTTCACCGATCATCTAATATAATCAATTAGTAACTTGGAAGTAATTATAAAATACTAATGAAATAAAACTGTTGCAACACCATGGAATTATAAAACAACTTTGCTGGTTGGAAGATGCTTCGAAATCTTCTGATTGTGTGAGAGCAGCCGTCATTACAAGAGATACAGAGCTTGCCTACCATCTGCCGTCAATCTGTAGTGTTTATACAGGTGAATTATACGCCATAGATCAAGCCGTAGCACACTGTGAAAGACTGGAAGGCAACTCTGTTATTATCACCGATTCTCTCAGCGCAATTCATGGAATCAGACAGTTATACCCAAGGAATTCACTACTTGTCCGTTTAAAGGAAAGAATATCCAAGCTAATGCAGAATCAAAAATGTATTAAACTTATCTGGATACCTTCTCATACTGGAATCAGAGGCAATGAGAAAGCCGATGCAGTCGCTCGCAATGTTACAGTTACTCCTTCCGCAACACTGTTTGAACAAATTTCCCACTCAGAATACATAGAAAACATGAGGAAACTAATAGCAAGTACTTGGAAAAATAGATGGATGGCCATGGACTCAAATAAATCACGTGAGATAAATCCCGATATGTGCTTCCAGAACTACCAATCAGCCCAACGAAGACATAAAGTCATTCTTACTCGCCTCAGAATCGGACACATAAGACTAACACACCAACAACTCATGAAGAAAAAATATGCTGCGGAGTGTGATATTTGTGGTGTGATCAACATTGTGAAACACATTATCCTGGAGTGCCCAGTTTTTGAATATGAAAAGCAAGAAGCAAGACTTCCCAGTGATCTCAATTCTGCCCTAGACGTGGTGAACTTGAACTCTTCAGTAACCTTTTTGAAATCTATTCATATATTACATAAAATATAATTATACCTGATTGTTTCTCCGCTAAAAACTCTTCGCGGTTGATGCGGTTATTTTTGAAAAAAAAACATAAGGTCTCAATCTTATGGTTCGGGAGCTACAAATTATTTGATTTGAAAACGAGCCACCCTGAATTACTTTTCAAACAATGATTTGCAGGAAAAATAAAAAAAGAGGTCAACAATTATACAGGAGACCACATTTTGAAATATTCGTTCAAGAGAAAATATGGAAGCAATAAATCAGAAAAAGAGATTTTTTAATGTATTTTAAATCAAAATCTGATGACTGAAATGAGGAGAAAAAGATTTTCTATAGTGAATGTGTAAAAACATTTTCACCAACTTCCATACAATGGTACAAATGAGCTTCTATTGTCGCCCTCACATGGTTGAGAATTTCTAGAGTTATTTCTCTGCAGTGCCTCATGAAAATCTCTCTCAAATATTCTAATGTTGTCGATTCTATCTCATACACTTCAGACTTCAAATCACATCATAGAAAGAAATTCACAGGTTTGAGATTCGGAGACCTTGGTGGCCATTCTGTAGGACCTCTTCTGCCAATCCAGCGACCAGGAAAATGATCATCCAAAAATTGTCGCACTGGAGCTGCATGATGAGGAGGTGCTCCATCCCGCTGAAAAACTATTTAGTTTTCGAATAAATTTATATCCTCCTCAATTGCCCTATTGATGCACGGTATTATTCGATTCTCCAACATATCCAAATATTTATCACTAGTCAAATTATCATTGATAAAAAAGGTCCTATGATGTAGTCACCCAAAATTCCAAACATTCAGTTTTTGAGGTCGTTGTGTATGAACTCATCGGTATAAATGAGGATTCGTATCAGTCCAATATCGACAATTTTGCCGATTCACCTTTCCATTCGAACTAAACGTATATTCATCCGAAAAACAAATTTGAAACAAGAAATTCTGATGCTAGTTGATCCGTTCAGTGAGACTTTCACAAAACTCGATACGTCTATCGAAATCATCTTCGTTCAATTCATGAACTAGTCTAATCTTGATGAAATGTGTACTTATAAAGGATCCTGAAAACATTTGTACTAGTAATTCCTGATTCTCGAGATAACTTAGTATTGTGAATTTTCCACTAGTCTAACGTGCCCTAAAACTGCAGTTCAAATATCTACATCGTTGACAACTCCTGAACGGTTATGTTTTTCATTGTTAACAGATCCAGTTCACATAATTTTGTTCAATGATTCCGAAACGTACTTGTGTCGTACATTTCTTCCTGGATGATTATCATTGAACATACGCGCAGCAGTTCTAGCACTATTTCCATTCTGATAGTACACACTATTTCAATCCGTTCTAGAAGCGTATAAACCATAGCTTCTCAAGAATTCACAAAGACAGAAACACCAATTGTAACTTGTAATTGTAACAATTTCATTATGAGCTTCAGACCATCATAGAACATATAATGCAAAACAGTTGATCCATTGAAAAAAATGGTGGCATGCTCTGTTTTTTGGTCAAAATTCAACGAAGTTTTATTGCAGATATTACAATATTCAGTTTATTGTAAATTAAACAAGTTTTTCGACATCCAAAATTGAAAGATGAACATGGTCAAAACAATTGCATGGCATGGCATGCTGACATCCCCAGCAACTAATATAATAGTAATTAGACTTTACTTGTTGAGCTGGGGCGTCCAGGGGAAACGTCGTCATTCGCATCTTCCCGACCTTCTGTGAAAAGCTTGTTCGTACCACTTGTATAAATTTTTCTGGCCGTATGCCACTGTCACTTTTCCAAATATTTTTGAGAACCTAATTCCATTTTCAACACAAAATGTATGCAATGTTCAAGACCAGATTAACAACATGAAAAACATGAAAAAGTCGCTTATCAAATATATGAAGCCCTCGAGATATGGACTTCGAACTTATCTCTTATGTATTTGCCAAGAAAATATAATTCCACAACTATGAATATAGTTGAACGAAGTTTCATCCTGAATAACTGAACAGTATTTTTATATAATTTCTTTTACATAAATATTTGACGTGTTTCCTTGAATTGAATTCTAAAACGATTCCATTGGGTCAAACAATAAATGTTAGATGAAGCATAGCAAACCAAATCAGTAAAAATCACTCAAAATCAATTGAATCGTATTTGAGAATAGCATACTCAAATGCACAGACACTTTCATCACATGATTCCAAATTGGTTGTCATACAGAAGAGATCAGAATATGAAAATACAGCAACACTATTTCTTTATTCGTGACTAAAAATCAGAATCATATCAAGTTCGAAGATAAAAATTATATTTATTCAAATGCTATTTAGCACAGGCTCTTTGGTAATGATATCGCTATCTTTCACTTTCTATCAATATTCAGTTTCAATGAAAGGTCACTCGTTTTTACGTCAAGGAATATATTTCTCTGGGAATCCGGCTTCTTTGAATCGAGTTTTTCGCAGACAGCATAATTCTTCTCATCGCAAGGGGCATCTACCCATTTTGCTTGTTGCTCTTTCTCCGAAACGGTTATGCAGTTCTCTCCCAGACCTTCGTTAGACGGTTTTCCTTGATCCCAGTTGAAATATTCAACATCACTCCCATTGAGCCACAGCCAGTTGGTTGAGCCAACTCTCTGATTTGCCGAAATCCAAGAACGATGTCCTTTTATCCCTGTAGACAAAATAATTGTGAGTAATATGATGTAATTGAACCTTACATGAGGAACGCTCAATATTTTCGATCAGTGAGAGATTGAAATTTCGAATGAATGAACCTTGTGTGTCAAAGGTTCGCTGCAGAATTGCTGCCGTACGTTTCATCTAACACTGCGGTAGACATTATCAAAGGCGATGAAGTAATGGTACCGACACAGAAACTACAATGCCTGTAATTCGTCTTATATTTTACATCATCGTAGGTGGGTATGGCTTGGTTAGGAGCCACTGCGAATAAAACAAGTTTTTTCGACACAGACAATTAATAGCTGATGAACAGGGTCCTGTCAAATATTGATATCATTTTTATTTGCACTGGAGAAAAATTATATAATAACAGCAAAAGATTTTTTATGACAAATACATTTTTTTCACAAATCTCCCTTTACAATATGAGGTATCCTGGTTATATCTGCTGAGAGTATAAGTTTTAGGGAAGCAAATATTGAAATGAAAACACAGGCGAACACTATATGTGAGTATGATAAATAATATCTCGTTTTGCATTTTAACAATTTTTTTGGTGATTGGTTTTTCAAAATCGAGTTTGAATGATGATTGTGACACCGTCAAACTCATCCATATTGCATAACTCAATTTTTTATTCTTATTTCCCTCTGAACGTTTTTCTTTCATTCTGAACGTTATGATAGAATGATAATCTTGTACTTATAAACATTGACATACATTTTTGTACTGATTTCCTTTTATTTTCAATAGGAGATATTGATACTAGCGGTTTGAACCGGTTTTTTACTGTGCTGCATTGTGTCATATCAGGTGGTCACGTTCAGTTAAGTCCAAGGTGATCGAGTCTATTCGACCCTCTACTGCAACCCGCAAAGGTTTGTGGCTCACACCTATGTATCTGTAGAGTAGGGAGGGTGAGTGTGAGCCCACGCACTTAGGCCACATGTGACCCATTGTACATACTCCCGAGGAGTTGTCCTCCTAGGTCGACGTCCATCCTGTCCTTTTCAGGAAGGTGGACAGGTCGCTGGGAGACATCTCCTTTATATCGGCAGGTGTAGGCCAAGACTCGCCGATCACACACTCTCTTATTGACAATAACTCCGGGCACTCGCTCAGGACATGCCTGACAGTCTCATCTTCCTGTTCATACATCCTGCACAGAGGTGTGTCCACTAACCCCATATTATGTAGGTGTTTCCTTAGCTGACAGTGGCCAGTCAGAAATCCTACTGTAAGGCGTAGATTTTTCCTGGTCATCGCCAGATATTTCTTCGGCGCCAGATTCCCAAGGTCGCCCAAGGTGATCCTGGCAAGATTACATCCTTTGATTTCATCTCATCTCTTTAAAGATTGAGCATGGGTGTAACATTTGACTAGTTCCGCAATTGTCGAAGTCATCAGGCCGTGGGTGCCACTGGGTCCTAAAATTCTTAGTCCAGCCGCTTCCTTGGCTAAAGAGTGGGCAATGCGATTACCTTTACTTCTGTCGTGCCCTTTAACCCACCTCAGGATAATGTTATTATCTACCGAGGCTTTGGCTAAATCTTGGTGGCACTCTAGTGCTAGCCCTGAAGTAACACGCTGTCTGTTCAAGGATAATAGTGCTTGTCTGCTATCAGTGCAGATTGTTATGTTTTTGCCAGAAATTCTTTTCTCGGTTATTTCTTTTGTGGCGATTGAGATACCAGCCAGTTCTGTTTGGACTACGCTGGTATTTCTTCCCATTCTCCACTTAATCCTTAGGCTTAATGATCTGGAGTACACTCCACATCCTGAGCCTTCTTTGGTTTTTGAGCCATCTGTATAAATCCATATTGCATTTGTAGCATCTGACTCTGTGTTCTGCTTAATTTGTATTTTGTAGGGTTTATTAAACACAAACCTGGGATCAATTGCATCACTTGTTGCCTGCAGCAGAGGTTGCGCAGTAAGCGCTTCACACCATAGGCCCAGCCTCAATTGACCCATTCCTACTTCGAGGTTCAAACCAGCCGTGCCCAATCGTACCATGGCCATTAACGCAACCTCCTTAACGTACAGATCCAGAGGGGTCAGACCCGTGATTAATTCCATTGCCGCGGTTGGTGTTGGCTCACACCTATTCACATTCAAATAAATCCAGCTTCTCAACGAAGCCGATTGGTGTGGATGATGAGTGGTCTTTCAGATCAGACGGTAAGAGTACAGGTCTGTCGAACTCTAAAAACCTGCTTCGTTCCCCTGCTGGACAGGCACAGAGTATGTGTTCCAGACAAAAACGACACACACTATCTTCCAAGAGTCCGAGTCTCTGCATATGATGATTCAAATGACAGTGACCTGTGAGAAGGTCTAATAGACATCGTAGTTCATCCCTACTGTAGTCCAACAACTGTGTGGTATCAAGCTTCGATGGGTGAATAAACGCCTTGGAGTGAGCCAATCCTGGAAGATTCTGCTAGAAGTCCATAAATCTTCTTGCCATCCAGGTGTTTAATGTTTGTTTGGCAAAGCCTGAAGCGATGCCAATGACAGGTTCTGGTCCGATGGAACTACTTGCAGCACCCTCCTTTGCAAGGGAGTCAGCAGCCTCATTGCCATCCAGGCCAGTATGGCCAGGAATCCAGACCAGAGATACTCTGTTATGTCTTCCTATCAAGGAGAGTCGTTTTTGGCAATTTTCTACCAATTTAGACGTTGTTCGGCAGGAACCAAGAGCTTCCAACGCTGCTTGACTGTCCTGGAATATTTTATTGACTTGTGTATCAGGTTGAATTCTTTCAATCTCTTCGCACACAATTCAATAACGTTAATTTCTGCTTGAAATACAGTCGCATAGGTTCCTAGGCAGGTTGATATCTCTGTCCTGGGTCTGCGACTGAAAACACCTGCACCAGAACCGAAAGGTGTTTTTGATCCATCAGTGAACCAACAAAAGCTTGTTAAATTGAGCATGCAGATGCGTCTACCTGGCTCAGCAATTAACATATTATATGCGACCATTTTTGTAAACATCGAAATGGGCAAAGTGAGCTATCTTCATGAAGAAGACATGGGCCATGCATCACAAAATCTTTTGAGAGAGGGACAATTCCACCACGAAGGGATTGCATAGCGTTTTTAATGAAAATTCCAAGTGGACAACAGTTGTAGTCATATTTCAACCAATTCAAACAAAACTTTAATTTGTACACACCAACATTCCTCTAGTTCCGTAGTTTTTAAGCTCATCGCGTTTATATATACAGTCAGACGCGGCAGGGCGACATTTTTATATAATATGTAGTGATGAACAAAATATTGTGTGCTTTCCAGATTTGACGATCAATCTAGAATACATGAAAAAGTTGACTATGTTACCAATTCCGTTCAAACTGAAAATTCTAGAATTATTACTTACCTTTTGTCAGTATCAAATGATGCAGAGCGGAATTTTCTTCAGCATTTCTCACTGAAGCAAGCGTCATATACATATCCTCACAATACTGAATGGCTCCAAAGTATGTCACCTGAAATGTTTTCACGTTTATTGTCAGAAAGCCACAGTTTTTACATTTTTTGTAACGTTTTCAGTTTGCCAAACGTGGACTTCGGTGTCTGAAGAAAGATATTCAGTTAGTGGCGATCTACAGTAGAAAATTCAGGTTACTGATTTCGATACCGATGATGAACTGGAAAATTATTCCAAGATAGTTTCATAACATAACAAATGTCAACATCTGATAATTATAGAACATATTTCATCTGTTTCGAAAAATGCATGAAAACACATTCAACTACTACCTGGGAAAAGTACTAACCTTTCAAAGAGAGCTGTTGAAATTTCATAATATTCTACTCATAAGTTTGTGAGTTATTGTGCTAAGAGTGACACTACTTTCGTTATTTTCACAATGGATCAAAAACCATTTCGTGTTTTGATTTTACACTGCTTATTGATGAGAAAATGCCGTTCAAGCAAAGCAATGGCTTGAAAGTTTTATAAGTAATTCGCTCCATCCGAAACAATTGAACGTTGGTTTGCTGACTTGAAACGTGGTCGTAGAGACACCGATGATGCAGAATGCAGTGGACGTCCAAGTAAGGCAGTAACACCAGGAAACATCAGAAAATCCACAACATCTTCTTGAATGATCGAAAATTCATGTTGGGTGAGTCAGCTGACATTGTCAAGATATCAAAAGAATGTGCTGGGTTTATATTGCATGAGAATTCGACTATGAGGAGTCTTTGTTCAAAGTGGGTGCTGCGCGAGGTCATTGTTGACCAAAAACAAGAAGGTCTTGATGATTCTGAGCAGCGTTTAGCCATGTCTGAACGTAAAAAAGTAGGATTTTCGCTTTTATATGTGATATTGGATGAAATGTGTATCCATCCTTCCATTCCTGATTCGAAACGATCGTCATCTGAGTGGAAAGCAACTGGTGAACGTTATCCAAAGTGCCCGAGAGCACAACAATCGCTTGGAGAACATGACGCCTTGGTATTTTGTTTGGGATGTTTGCTCTAGTGCTGAATCTGTTGGGATATAGTGAGGGTTGGATAACGTCAGTTCAAAGCCCTATCAAAAGACATATAACAGGAGAGTAAAGATACTTTCGACATATTTTCTACTTCAGGATTGAAAAGCCTCAACAGCATTAACTTCTCCAATATCATTTCTCAACAAATTCATATTATACACAAACACATCTATTTGAGATTGATAGAGGAGAAGCACTGAAAAAATGAAAGGAAGTATTTTGTGAAATTGAGAAATTATCAGTATACGATATTCTTGATGATTTCATAAATTTTGGAACCCTGTTCAAAAAATGGTACTGAACATATATTTGGTAGATTCATGGTTGGGTAATTCATTTTTTTTTTCAATTACTTCTACATCAAAGACACATTCTCCTATTTTCTACTCATGATACGAACCTTCTCATTACCAAGATAATACTTCTTTCCAATTCCGTTATCAATTTGTATATTATCGTCATCAGTCATCGATTCACAGATATAGGAATTCGCCACAATTGTGGAATGATCGTCCCATACCAAGGTATTTTTTTTAATGAATACTTGAACGCATCTTTCCGTCTCATCGTAACCATTGGGTTCTCCTGAATTCCAATTGAAATAATTGACAAGTGTTCCATCCAACCAAGACCATGCGTTTCCATAACTCAATATTTTTGCCGAAATGAAGGCCCCACCGTTGTAATCTGTAAGAGTTCATAAAATTACCTGGAAAAGCCACTATTGAATTTTTAATGGCAGCACGAAGGTTTATTATCCAATGATGCCAGTTGGTTTCAAATACATCATGTCCTTTTTTTTGTGAATTTCTCAGAAAACTATTCAGTAGTAGCCTAATTATTGTGGCTTCATTGCATCACAAGTTTTCCGATGAGTTCGTTATTTACGTATAAATGTGTATTCAATTTCACTGCATGAAATTTCATTGCTCTCCTCCCAAGAAATTTTCAAATCAATTCAAACCAAAAAAGTGTATTGCCAGCCACCGCTGGTCGTCTTCAATAGAGTGTAATTTGGCCAATGTCTCACTCAACTCGAATTACACTTCGCGATCGTTCTAGATGACGTGTCGCGTCGCTTTGAGAAACTTCCAGCGACTTTCCTATCGGCTTCCAGATAGTTTCATTACGATATAAAAACACTACCAATACACAGTTCGAGAAGCTTCTGTTGAAAGTGAGGTGCAAAGTTCTCTTATGAGGCGTCATCTGGGTATTGTTGAGTTTGATTGTACGGTGTAGTCATTTATTGTCAAACTCACGGTGAGAACGTGACAGAATGAGTCCCAAGTACACTTCTAAGTGACATTGAAGCAAGACTTGTATCAAGTATCATGTCTTAGAGGTAGCATATGCTGGAATCGTCAAGTCAGGATTGTAGAACCATTCAAGAGTTATTATGAACCCCTCGGAAGTGCAAGGCGGAGTTTTCAAATGTTCACTCTCTATGGGAACTAACGTCATGACCTGGTATACAAGCAAAAGAGTTGGGACTTGGTGGTCAGTAGTTTCACACTTACGAAGTCTCCAATATCATCAGTTGAGTCGAATAAATGAAAATTGAGGTGATTTCTGGTCACGCAGCCCAGAAAACCAGCCGTAGCTACTCCAACACACCATAACGCCTATATTAGCCCCTGTTCCTCATGATATTAAGAGTTGGAGACTCTCACCCATAAGAGTCTTCAATTCATAGAAGTTCAAGTTCCAGATCCGTCCCGGAAACAACCGCCATTTTTTTCATGCTCTTCTGCTCCCACTGGCGCTTTCAATGGGTTATTAGTTGACTAGCGTGCCAGAGAATTTTCAAAGGGCCATGGCTATCTACCGAAGGGTGGTGAGGCGCAAGTTTTTCACCTGATAGAATTGGTTCCAGGCACGAAAGCAGGAATTGATATTGAACGGTTGGAGGCTTCCACGGGTTGGGGAGCACATGGCTGCCTAGTATAGAAGTTTCTGAAAAATTACAAAAATTCACCCTACTGTACCAAGGGAGAACCGGAAGAAGTTCATGAAAAATGATCAGAACCTTATGTGAACGATGAGTAAGGTGGTTGAAGTGACTGACAGTGATGAAGATGATAAAGTTATTATCCTTGTCACCTCCGAGTTTTTGACCTTTTGAATCGATTTGGTGTTTTGTTTGAAGGTGATTGACAATGTTCCATGATGAATTTCACTAGTTCGTACTTACATTGTCTACTACATAAAATGATTTGAAATCCCTGAAACAACTAAAAAAGAAGAAGTAGAAATGAATAGCTGAAAATAACAATTATATTAAGCAAAATAAACCTGAATTGAAATAATAGTAAAATAAAATACAAGTGAAATAGAACAACTGAACAAAAATAAATAAAAATAAAGAAATAAAAAAAGAAAAAAGAAAATAAAAATTTGAGAGATTTCAAGTCACGTTAGTTCACGACATTTCGATTGTTAGTGTCTACAATCGTCTTCGGGTGATGAATGGACCGATTCCTGGTTCCATGGGAGATGACCGTTTAGCGGTAGTTGGCCATTTTTCGCTTGATGATGGGTTTCCATATGTTGCGTATTTCTACGCTGGCTTGGCTAAATATGTTGTTGGACAACATGTAAGCGGCTTCCTTGAATTTTCTCCTGAAACAATGTTCTTCTCTGTCCTGAAACACATCAACAGCGTGAGACCTTCCATCATTTTCACAAAGGAGAAGAAAATCCACAACGAATTGCCATTCTTAGAAGTTTTGGTGAAGAAGATCGACACTAAGTGGGAAACATCTGTATACCATAAACCCACTCATATGGGACAGTTTCTGAACCACGAATCCAACCACCATCAATCAACTAAAAGAGAAATCATCAAGACTTTATAAGACCGTGCTTTCGGGCTCTGAAACACGAAGGACGGTTTCGAGAAGGACCTAGACATCATCAAAAATTATTTTCAACGGAATGGCTACTCCAAAGCGATGGTAGAAAAGACCTTCGCTAAAAGACAGCAGGAGCCTCGCAAGGAAGAGAAGCCGCCACAACCAGTGCTTGCACTTTCCTACATCAGACGATTATCGGAGAGGATAAGAAGAATTGGTTCCAAGTACAACATCAGAACCTGCTTTAGATCCGGTAACACTATCCGTAGCAGTCTCTCGGAAACCAGGCCACCAAACGCGGACTGCGATTCCAAGAATTGCATTTACTGGATACCCTGTGAGTACGGAAAATCCTATATTGGTGAAACTAAAAGGCCATTGAATGTTCGCATTCGCACAAGAAACACACACAGCGAGGGGAAACCAGCAGATCAGGAATAGCAGACCATGTTTGAACCCATCAACACAACATCGAGTGGTCTCAAGCTGAGATCTTACACAAAGAGGAACATTGGTACAGGAGAAAATTCAAGGAAGCCGCTTACTTGTTGTCCAACTAAATATTCAGCCAAGCCAGCGTAGAAATACGCAACATATGGAAAACCATCGTCAAGCGAAAAATGGCCAACTCCCGCCAAACGGTCATCTTCCACGGAACCAGTGAAGCGGAAACTGAAAAGCGGGGAAAAGTGAAAGTATTCGAACGACCTATAAATAGTCATCTCTCGGAAAAATCAGTCCAGTCATCACCCAAAGACGATTGTAGATACTAACAATCGAAACGTCGTGAACTAACGTGACTTGGAATCTCTCAACTTTTTATTTTTGTTTTCTTTTTTCATTTCTTTATTTTTATTTATTTTTTTTTCGAATTGTTCTATTCTACTTGTATTTAATTTCACTATTATTTCATTCCAGGTTTATTCTGCATAATATAATTGTTAATTTCAGCTATTCATTTTTTATTCTTCTTTTTTTAGTTGTTTCAGTGATTTCCAATCATTTTATATAGTTGACAAAGGGAGTCCGAACTAGTGAAATTAGATTTAGTGAGTTTGGGTTGTTTTCGTCAGTGAGGAAGCACCGATCACGGAGGCTCAACTCTAATTCCATTATGACATCAGGCCGCAGTGTTAATGAATCGTTCAAAATTTTCCCCTGCACTTCAAAAGGGGTTCTCAACAAACTCTTCCGTACAAAATTCAAGTTTTTAAATTCACCCCACTTCAGCGATATGTTACCTAATTGGTGCAAGTGTTCTGCAGTATATGACAGAAGAGAACAAAATTTGGGCTAGTAGGCCGTATTCAGATGAAACCTGAAATATCAATCACATCACATGTTTAGAGGTTTGTGCTTTGACTACGAGGATACAGCAACAACTCTCTTACGAGTGTATATTTATGTGTTCCACTTGGTTTGCCATTAGAGGCGAAGCAATATTCAACTGGGATCTCAACAATTATTCGATATCTTGAAGATTGAAACCTAAAATAGTGAAAGTACACTTACTCTGTTGCGAGAGAAATCTGTACACATCATTATTCTCTCTTTCATTTCGTATGCTAGCAAGTCTCATTGACTTTCTCCGACATATTTCAACTGCTTGATTGCATGGGACCTGAAACATTCAAATCATTACAATTGAAAGTGAACCTGAAAATCATTCAACCCTCAAATATAGAGCTAGTGAACACATTAAACTCTTCGACATTCACTATATGAAAGGACTAGATGATAAATTTCAATAGAAGCTTGTATCAATTCTTGTTTACACATAGTCAGTGGGCATACTTGAAGACTGGCTATAAATCAAATCATCTAAGAACAATTCGTTCAGGCCAGTCTCAACTCCCTACACAGTAGGTTAATGGACTGACACCTATCAGAAAACAACTACTCCCCTGGCTAATACCACGAAGGGCGTTGAATTATATCCGACAGGTGTCAGTGCAGGATTCTTCACAGATGTTATTCCTGCATATGCTGTTGGCGATACAACTGCCACAATAGATTTACAATTATTGGAACACACTTGCAGACCAGTTTCGGGCTGTTTGGCCACTCGTCAGTGCAAGGTAGTGTATATAATCAACATAAAGTCGATGATTTCCGATGATTGAAAATCGAATTCCGTCAGAGTATCATTCCTCGAACTAAGCTGAAGCATACAACAAACAACAGGTTTGTCGTCACCCCATCTGCCTGTGAACGAGGTAACCAACTGCATATCCGCCCTTCGTGGTATTAGCCAGGGAAGTAGTTGTTTTTTGTAGGTGTCAGTCCATTAACCTACTATGTAGGGAGTTGAGACTGGCCTGAACGAATTGTTCTTAGATAATTTGATTTATAGCCAGTCTTCAAGTATGCCCACTGACTATGTGTGAAAGTTTTCTCTCCTTATACAAGGAATTGGGCAAATTTCGGAGATGCAGTTGGTTACCTCGTTCACAGGCAGATGGGGCGACGACAAACCTGTTGTTTGTTGTATGCTTCAGCTTAGTTCGAGGAATGATACTCTGACGGAATTCGATTTTCAATTATCGGAAATCATCGACTTTATGTTGGTGATATACAGTACCTTGCACTGACGAGTGGCCAAACAGCCCAAAACCGGTCTGCATCTTGTTGATAACAATGCGAGGAGCACACTCGAAAAATTAAGTGGCTACAGTTCAAATATTGAAGTAGCATTTCGAATGCGGTGAGAAAATTATGAGAATATAATCGATAGGATATTATTGGCAAACAATTCAATTTTTGCCGAAGTAGATCGAAAATGGTTTTTGATAAAGAAATACCGCTGATGAGCTGATAACTATAATATACCTTGTTATATACAAAAAATAGATGATGAGAGTGAATAATATGCAATATTCAATAGAAATCAATATAATTTTGTTTATTTCGTTAATGATACGATAGTAACTTTTGGGCATTATGCGAGTTTGTCGAGTTTATGGTTTCTACTTCCTAGCTTTATATAACTTTGATTCTGACCCGATCATTCACCAGGTAGATGGGCAGTTCTAACAGCTTGGAAAAAAATATAAAATATACTCAAAATGAAATATACTCAATATAGAGCCTGATATGAAACTTCACATGTGATGGAAGAATATTCTGTATTTCTGAATTTTAAGGTTCAACATTGATTTGATTTTGATTATTGTAAATGGTAAGATCCTCAAACAGTAATAATATCACCCTGTTTGATGTGAAACAACTATAGTCACACGTGTAGCCGATTGCTTGCGAAGCGACGCGTGCCATGGCGACGGGTATCCATGCGCAAGCGACTGTGCGATTCTCTCCCCACTGGCTCGACGTTACGCTATCTCTCTCGACACACTGAGGTTGGATACCTACATTAAATACAGTTGTGTTCACTACAGTATAATACATAACCTGTGTTTTACTGAATGAAATATTTTTTATGTAATCAAAAATAAAATATGCCTGGCAGATAATGAAAGTGAGCAGCCTTCTACAAAGAAAGCCAAAATCACTCTACGACACACTATCAATTCATCTGTAACTTAATTATGCTTTTATATTGTACAATCAAAAAACTTTATCTAAGAAGTGAGCCCGCATATATTTGGTCTGTCTCAAGGGTCAGTAGATTTAAATACTACTCTCTCAGTAGATTGAAATCAACACAGTTCTCGTAGCATAAATTATTAACTGATTTGAATTTCATTCTCGTGAAAAATGATTCACCAAAACGGTTACTTGAATAATACATTTCATAAAGACCGACAAAATTGTATTTCAAATTCAGCTAATAGCGAATGGCACACGAATGTGTTCTTGATTTTTATTAACAAAAAGTCAATGAAATAATCAATTTCCTAGTAATGGTGATATTTTTAATTTAGGATCTTAAGTAATACATTGCAACAACTAACTGGAAAAAATTTACATTTTTTTATTTTTACATGCCATATTAGTTCCTGTCGTAATATATTTTTTCATGCATACTACTTGTACGAAATAGTTTCGATGTGCCAGACGTGCCGTGATGGCTGACAATTTTCATATGACAAAAAGATATATCACAAACCTTATCCAGTCCGATGTAATATCTTCTTCTTCCTATAGCATACGAAGATGAATCAACTGGGATTGCTGCAAATGAAACTATATATAGGCCATTATTTTTGCTTCGGAAATGGTAACACCTACAAGGTCCGCTGAATCCGACGAAGCTTCCCAATTTGAGAAACTGAAATAATCGCTTTCCAGATCGAGAATATCAGTGATTGTTTTCGAAATATTTGTCAAATACTAAAATTGTCGAATTGCGTTCTGTGGCTTTACCGCCTCTATTCCGAATGATATAATATAACAAAATCAAAGAAAATTTCATAACTGTTTCATATTCTTTATAATCTTATATGAACCAATTTGCAATACAGCGTTTCGTTGATAAGAATCCATTATCAACTTCATTTTTTTAAATACAGGTCTCTAGTCTTCCTCATCAATATTTGTAGCCACTGTAATAATAAATTTAGCGATGTATTACACATACTCCACTTATCGGAAGAACCAAGTAACGAATAGTTAAAAATGAATGTCAACATATTCCTAACCATCTACGTCATTCCCGATATCTCAATGAAGAGTCGAATTGTTACAGTGACTACAAAAATCTATGATAGAAAATAGAGTCAATGATGAACTCTAATGAACGAAACGTCGTCTTGTAAATTGTTTTATATCAGATTATGACAAATATGAACAGTATTTTAAGTTCCTTTGCCTTTTTATATCACAGTGGAGGCAGTAGAGGGAAAAAAATGAAATTCGATCGTTCTAGTTTCTGGATAATATTTCGAAAACAACCAGTTCTATTTCAGATCTGGAAATAGTTCCTCAGAATAGGAAACTTTTACGTAATAGTGAGATCACCTTGAAAAACTGCCTGTTAATGTGAAACAGATTAATTGAAATATACAGTCGACGGTTTTCCTTTATGAGAGATAAAATTGTCAAACACCAGAACATCAAAGACTTCATAAATAGATAAAAAAAATGCATTCTGTTTGATTCAGTGAAAATCAAATCGATTCGAAATTTCAAGGTAAAGTAAGATATTTACTGAAAAACTTGTCTTTTGATTGATTTGACTTTTGAAAATGAATTCAATTGATTACAAACTGCATTATTTTTCTGAGCAATGCAAGACATTGAGGTTGAACTTTCCACAATATGAAAAATAAACAAAGCCAAATCAATAGAAAATCTGCTATTGAAATTAATATAAATAACTTGATAGATGAATTCCATCTACAAACTGAATGAACCATAGGAATGGAATTTCTATATCAAGCTTTCTCAAGATGGTTGATTTTTTGAAAAAAAAACTATTCCATCCCGATTTATTGATCCGAAACTATATAACAAACTATCACTTCAAATTAAAAAAATATATAAAAATAAAATGAAGAAGTACTCCTTAGTTTTTTCAAAATAACCATATATTATTTATTCGCCACTGTTTATATAAAAAAATTCAAATCCCTGAAAACAATCAGTTTGCACTTTTCCAAATATTGAAAAAAAACTTTTCCGCGTGTAGTATTCTGCAACTTCAAGCATTCAAACTCAGGTAATTTTTGTACAAAGTTATATAATCTGTAACAACGATATAAATTGTTGAAATGCCAAATATGAAAATGGAAGTATATTTTGAAATCTTGAGACAGATAACCCGACACTTATACTAAATTGAAAGATTTTGCAATGACTTCGCTAACAATTTTTTCATCCGGAAATTTTCTGTAAGACTACATTGTGCACTATTGGGACAAACTAAAGGAGTTGGTTAACAGATGAAGTCAGTGGCACTCACTTGTCTTTGAAATGTACCAAGTATAAACCCGGAATAGAAGATTTAGCAGACCAACCTCGGCACAAAAATAGTCACAAATTTTATACCGTTAGGGCAATTAAACAACATGAGAAAATCCGTAGTGGTGGCTCTTGCTCGAAACTGTATATTGGTAAAGAGGGAGAACATTTTCGCTATGAAACAAAGAACATATAAGTAGTTTCGTATATAGAAAGACCAATTTCATATTTGCAAACCACCTTCAAGCAGAAACATATATGTTCAATCATGAATAGAATGTTTTTCATTTAGAAGAGAAAAGTTTGAAAGTCAATCTTCTAGAATGTTCAGAAATTGATAGATGCAAGAATTTGGGTAGTTTACTGAATGATCAATCAGAATTGAATAACTTCCCGTTATTAAATATTTTTTCGAATGTACACTGGTACATGAGCTTAGGTAATATAATTCATTACAAACTCCTGTACACATGAAACATTAAATGACCAAATAAAACCCAGGTATATAAATATTTCAAATTGTGAAATAAAGTATATAAAGTTTCGAATATGTAGAGTATACTTAGTAAAGACAAGCCCGAAGAAGCCATTGTATGGCGAAACACGTATTGCGTTTTTGTAGAAAACGATTTAGTGAACATTTCAAACACATACACTCTTGGAAAGAACCCTAAAGTTAGTAGATGACAAAAACATCAGTATTTTTGGTGTCTCTTATGATCGTTTCAAACAATAATTGAATTATTCAAGTAGGTAATTGTTTACATAAGGTAGTAACAAGTTCAATTTTAATTCTATATCCTAAAATATTTTATAATGTTATATAGTTGTGTGCTGCAGAATTTTCAAGTGTAACATGAATACACACACATGATGTTTACTGGGAATTCAGATTGAGTTAACATTGCCGAAGATTCACTATGGATTCAGTTTCGTTTATCCTCCAGATGATGTGAGAATGAAAATAAAAAAACCGGTCAATAACAATAATTCCAATATTTCCGAAACCATCAGTCATTATGAAATCATAAACAAGAAAGTTCTCAATTTTTTTTGTTATTGATATTGTTCCTTCGTTTCCAGAAGTAATTGCATTTGCTGTCAGACTATCGGTGGAAAAATCACTTCAAGTCTGATAATTCACTTCATTTTCAAAAAACTGTCACTTCTGAAATATCAATAATGTTCCATCGTTATAGTGTCCTATGCACATTTCTTATCATAAAACAATACATAGATTCAGAAAAATATAGTAACATTCCTACCTTGAAATTCAAACAATAGTATCAATAAACAGGAGTATATGAACCACATGATCAGTTCATTTGAAACTGAGCCAAATATTGTGTTCTGCCATTTATTCTCTCTCTTATCCTTCTTCACCTCAGATGACCTCATGAGATAAAAAAAATTCAATATGTATTTTGAGAAATTCCCATTGCGCAAAATCTAATTGGAAATACCGGAGGAATATCCACGAGCCTGTGTTCATATATACAGGCCGTTATTTTTACCTGATCCCACTGTTGAACAAAAGTTTCTAATTTCGGAGAGCTAGAATAATCTTTTTCAGATTGAAAGTCAATGAATGGAAATTCGCATTGGAAATAGGTTTATATCAGATCATAACAAATATGAAACAGCATTGAAATTTTCTCTGCCTACCATTCTAAATGGGGATGGTGGAGTTAGACAGAGAGTTAGACAGAGTTAGACAATTCCAGCATTTGACAAATATTTCAAAAACAACCAATAATATTCAATATGTGAAACGTACGATTTTGTAAGTATGTGCCAGATACCCGACGGAAAGACAACAGCTAACCTAGCTAATGCCGCGCAGAAAGCTCAAGGGATATCATCAGGCACTTCCGTTTGGAAAATTAGTCGCAAGTAACTTCCTATATATAAAAAGCTGAAATCAATTTCGTTTTGTCGAAATGACCACCGACAGATCGGTTGTGGAGTACTAGCTCCTCGTAAGTGTCGGATGTATCAGAATTCTACTGATAGACTGACATTAACACTAATTAACCCAATTCTCAAAAAGAGTGACCTTCGCTTTGTCGACAGAGAAATGTACTAGTATATGATATGATGAGTACTATCCCTCACTAACATGGATTCACAAACAACAAGATAGCTGTAGTGGAATTGTATGTTTTTTGAAAATAATGTAGTTACTGCCCTGGATGGAAAAATCCAGATCTGAGGATTATTTATCGACTTTCCCCGTGTTTCCTATTGTGTAAATCACAAGATAGAAGCAAAATGGTGTGCGAGGGACATACCACTGAATCTTATCGAATCATATTCGAATAACATACTATTGAGTATAGTTATTATGAATACTAAAAGTCATGTGAAATATTCAATCATCTGAATGTTCCTTTCGAAAATTTTTTGAAAATCACCATTTTTGAATCCAGACTAATAATATCACCATTTACTGAAAATAATTGTTATACAGTTGGGGAATTTTCAATCTAATTTCATATTGTCAGTATTTTTTTAACACGCTCATATTAGCATCACTTGTATCTTTGCTTGTAATCGACTTCTTTGGACTGTATTCTGACTAACTTTAAACGGACAGATCCATTTTGAACTTTGTACACTTCTCGTCTCTGGTATCTGTGGAGTAGGGAGAGTGAGCATAGACTCACAGCACTTAGACCACATGTGACCTATTGTACATTCTCCCGAGAAGTTGTCCTCCTAGGTCATTGTCCATCCTGTCCTTCCCAGAAAGGTGAACATGTCACTAGGAGACATCTCCTTTATATTGGCAGGTGTAGGTCAAGACTCGCCGAACACACACTCTCTTTGGCAACCTTGAGGTGTCTCAGGGTGGCCTCCGTGAAGGTTTTGGAAGGTGCAGCGATATTACTGTCGTTGCGCGGCTTCTTCAACCTTCTTGAGGTTCCCTCCGTGGAGGTGCACAAGTGAGGGAGCTTTCCTGCAGGGGCAGAAGGTTTCTTGTCTTTATTCAAGGCGGAGCTCTTGGCGCATGCCGTAAGAAATGCCCTTGCTGTTGAAGGTGATCTGCTATGTCCAGCCATAATCCAAGCAGTAGGTTGGGGTGGATATTTCTGTTCATCCCCAGATACCGCCTTAGATTGAGGTAAGCACTTCTGTCCAGCTTCAGAATGGGTTTTTGTTTTTGTTAATTCTGTTTTTGTTTCATTTATGTGTGTTCCCACGAGTAGCAAGGGAAGGGTTGATCACCTCTGGCAGATCCCCGCGTTACCAGAGGTAGGCTGATTATAATGAGGTTTCGCTCAGTTTCTCAAGGGGATCGTTAATGACCGCATATCACCCTGCGGCCAATCAACTGTCGGTACGATTCCTTATACCTTAGCTTGGGTAGGCTGGTGCATGGTAGCATGTTTTGCAAAGGCTTTTGGGGGTTTCCCGAACAGGGCCTCCGGTCTCCCCTATCCACCACCTGGGGACGCGCCCGATAGGTAGCCCAACCACGGGATCTCTGTACACTCATCAAGAATAGGTGACAAAACAATAATTTCATAAGTTTATCTCATCATCCTGATCGTGATAGCCAGGAGTGAATAATTTTCTCACAGTCTCAGTGTTAGAGCAAGTCAGACAACCACACTGTCTGCGCATGCGCATATATTTTATATCAAACAGATAGGCTGAAAATAGCAAGCCAAACGTTCAACATCGATAATGAGTCCTATGGTTTGAAGTAAACAATGACTTCCAATAAGTCTGAAATCAGAATGAATCTATTAACAAAAATTTATATTGTTGTAAAAAAGCAGGGGTGCTAAATATCTATTTATATAAATACTTGGTTGAGAGCTGTTTGCCAAATTGGAGCCTTAATGAAAATTTAATTTGAAGTATCCCACGCCTCTTTACAACAAAACCTTTTTTTGTAAGTGATTTCTGATTTCAGACTAATCAAAAGTCATCAGTTACATCAAGCCACATGACTTATTATCGATATTGAAGGCAATCTCAAATTAGCTCAAAATTATTCTTTATTTTTCAGTTTGGATTGCTATGAAAGCGTGTTTTTTAGTTTTTTCAAACTGTTACTTATTATATATGTGACGACTCTATCAGTTACTAAATGAGTATTTCACTAGAATAAAAAAAATTATAAATTTCAATGTTAGTCGTGATTGGGTTTCATACCCTCCTCTCTGTCAGAAATGACGCCTCATTACAACTTTAGTATTTAATTATTTTCATTTTGTGAATGTTGATATTTGACGTTGTTTTCAATTATTGTACATTCGTACTTTCCAAGTGATGAAAGAATATTATCATTATTATCATTATGATTGAATAATAAAAGGCAAGCCAATCATAATGTTGTTGATAAGGGATGGGTTTCAAAATTGGTTTCGTGAAAGTAAGGTTGTTGTTCTTAAATTATTGAATGAATCTTTTTGAACTATCATATGGTTTGGAATAACTTTAATTATTTCAAAAGTGAAAAAAAATCATTTCACCATTCAAGATAACCTGAAACTGGTTAACAAACCTTCGACATAAACCGCTAGTATAATTTGCAACCAGAAGATGTGTTATTCCATTTTGAACAGAATGATATTCATCTCGATTCAAACATTGTGACTGATAGATATTTTTATTGAAGTGAATGTTTTTTATTGGTATCTTCTGTTTCCGTAGAAAATAATATTTGTCTCACCCACCATCCAACAGAAACGACAAGACCGTTAGTCAATTGACATACTTCTATAATTCACAGCAATTCAATCGATTCATCAATCAACAACAAACCTACGCCCACTATCTTCTTCTGATTTTTCGTTATACAACATGAAATCACAAGGGAAAGTCTGGACAGCTGAATTGTAATATGATTTATAAACGTCGTCGACGTCTGTGGACGTCTGTGTCAACAGTTCACCGTATCAAAGAAAATCCCGCCTGCCCTCAAGACAGGAAATGAATAAAATATGAACGCTTCAGTAATGGAATATAGGTTTAATAAAACGGTGACACTTGACTCAAAATAGAAAAGCTGAATTTACATACAGCTGACAACACATGCTTGAATACTGGAATATTGTGCAGAATGGGGAATCAAGAACAAAACAGTCGGTTAGAATGAACCTCCCCGAAAACAGGGCTGAAGGCTCCTGGAGTATTTTTCATAACAGGGTGGAATTTTTCAATCTAATTTGTCCTTTGTGCGTTTGAAATGGTTTTTGTACCTGGATACTACTCAGCAGATTTGAAAATGATTCAATCTTGACTCTGCCTTTTTCATAACCGATTTTCAGTAGCTCACACTAGTCCACACTGATTCTGATTCGAGAAACATTGATGATGTGTGTAGTCGAGGACGTAAACTAATTACATCGTCTGCAGAAAGTTAAATTTTCTACATCTAAATGAAAAAATTTTAGTAGTACTTTCAATTTGTTCACTTCTTCATCAATTTTCAATTCTAATTAGGCAGTTCATTTGTTATAGAGTCCTCCAACAGGGACTTCCCAACTTTGACATCTGATAACGGCTACATCTGTCAAATTATTTGTCATTTATTCAGTACTAGCTTTCACCCGCCGCTTCTCTCGCATTTATGCCATTAAATAAGTGACTTTACCATAGAAATGAATCAATATGAGAACAATATTTCAATGCTTGGCTGGGACTATCAATTTTTAGAAATTATTACCTAACCTAACCTAACCTAACCTAACTTAACCTAACCTAATCTAACTTAACCTAACCTAACCTAATCTAACCTAACCTAACCTAACCTAACCTAACCTAACTTAACCGAACCTAACCTAACCTAACCTAATTTTTTTTTGTGGAGGTGAAAACTCATGTCTACCGTACGCATCTGCTGTCTATCGCGCTATGGATATTTTGGACTCGAGACGGGTCTCGCCTACCGACCAAACAACTCCTTTCATTCCTCCCCTGTGCCTGGAACCGCCTTTGGCAGCCATACCATCGGGCAGCAAGTGAAATATTAAGTTTTTATATTCCTTGCATGACTCTCTCTTCTTGTTCTTTGGCTGTCATCAGTTTCTTTATAATATATTTCCTAACAATACCAATTTTTTTTCTATCTACCATTTGTCCGATGAGATTCTCCGCTATCAATGCAGCCTATGTTCTGTGCAGGAGGGTTCTCTCTTCAACTACTAGGAGGTGTGCCTGTAATCACCTGCAGGGATTTGGTTGCAGTGGTTCTGTAGGCCATGACTGATCTTAACATTCACTTCCTATGTACTTTCGTCAGCATGTCGTGATATTATCACATTTTGAGTGCAATTTCCCACGTCGGGGCAGCATATAGTAAAGTGGAGTAGACAACTGCATTCATCACCTATCTTTTCCTCGAGGAGGGTCCTTCGATATTGGGCATAATCTTTGTAAGTGCCTCTGGTTTCATAGTCGCTTTATCTTTTATATATTTAACGTGCTAGCCGAAGTTCAGATGAGTGTCTAATATTACTCAGGTATTTTAGTGTTCTTTCTGTTACGATTTCTGTGTTCAGTAGTTTGAACCTGACCTAACCCAACTTACCCTAACCTAACCTAACCTAATCAACAAAGTCTATAAATCTTTTTGCCATACAGGTGTTCAATATTTGTTTGGCAAAGCCTAAAGCGATACCAATGACAGGTTCTGGTCCGATGAAGTTGTTTGCAGCACCCTATTTTGCAAGGGAGTCACTCTATCTTTCAAAATTTCCCAATGTTAAAAAAATATCTAGACGGATAACTGCCAGTGTGGGTTTCCACGATTATGGCAGAAACTTGTCACGACGATGTGTTTGAAGGTGGTTGATTTTCTGGTTGTTGCTTGTATGTTATTTCATTGTAATTTCAGTTATTTTGCTAATATAATTGTTATTTTCAGCTAATGTTTTTAATTTTTTCCACAGGTTCTGTCAGGGATTTCATATCAATTTATATTAAATTAGACAATGGAAATCCGAACTGATGAAATAAATCACGACGATGTATTATGTGTATATCTACGAGTTTATTTCACGAATCAATGAAAATATTGCAGAATATCAATCTGATTGTGAGGTTCATGACTTGCTCAATGAACTCATGAACAATTTCTTCATTAGCAATAGCTTCAGAAGTCTTGACGAATATATTTATATGAATGAGTTTCATTTGATTGTAAACCATGATGGAACTTCAGAACTGTACTGATAACAGTACTGTTTCAGTCATGGCAATGACTTCTCCAGAACTTGCACAAGTGGAAACCACTTGATTTGAAAAGGCAGAACAATGGTTCAAGAATTGTACTTACCGGGGTTGAACGAATGCGTTTTTTTCAAAGCAGATCAATGTGTCTCAATACTCCAAACGTCATCACACTCAATCATCGAACTATAAATTTGACTGGTAATGTTAAATACCCTAGAGTTATGAGTGTTAGAGCACGAAAATTTTCCTGTCACGTAGATTATTATCTTTCCAAAAAACTCAGTCAAACATGTTCGAATATTCTGAACAAAAATACAAGTCTTTTCATGATAAAAATTTTCCTCATGCTAACACTTCCCTTCCAGAAATATATATGGAATTTTTCTATAGGTTGGCACTAGAATTGCAAAGGTCACTCTACCTGCTTTATATATTCATGAGTACTTATACCAAATTCCTTTTCGATGGTAGACATTATTTTGACATGCATAAAATTACTCATATATATCTGTTTGAAAAAATCAAGATTTTGGCCTCCGAAACGTAAAAGATAAGTATTATTTCTTAATAATTTCTTTGATAGGCAAAATTGTTAAATACAACAAGTTACTGATAAATAGAAGATTTTTCTTTGTGAAAAATACTTTAATTTTTACGCAGTAACTTATCGGGGTAAACTAAAAAGTTTGCCCTTCTACACTTGTATAAAGTTCTCCATAAAAAGGTTGATAAAAAACTGATTTTTTCCTCCACAAAAAATGACTCAATGCTTTCGATTAATATATTGTCTTTCTGTTGAACTGTCAAGACGTGAAACTGTCATTATTTCACAATGACTATATATTTTATACTATTGGGTTTGATATTCATGAACCATAACGTGTATCCAAACGAGAACATCTCTACAACAGAAAATAGTGATTTTGATACCAGTAAAACAAGCATTTCGGAAGATGATTTTGTGGAAGCTCTGAAAGATATAGCTTACTATCTTCGTGCACATAAATTCAATGAGTATGACAGACGTTATGAGACAGATTATGAAAAAGCGGAAAGGTGAGTTTGCCTTCTTTATTCAAATTCGTTCAAGGAACATATAATAATTGAATTTTTATAATTCAATAATCCACAAACGATTGAATGTGATAATTTTCATGATTATTCTACTCAATGCATAGAAACGATGGATCAGTTGCGAAATTTTACTATCAACATAAACATCAGCTGATGATGACGTGGAGCTGAAACAACTTGACATCATTAAGGCTTTTGGTCCTGATTGAGTACCTATCATCTCACTCATCAACAGGAGGAGGTATTCAGCTCTTGTTGTGAATCTGCCCAAGTTGTATCTACACAACAAAAATGCCACAAACACATTCCAAATGATTATAGACCAATTACTCAACTATCGAAAATGGTGTAGAAATCTGTTAATCGGCACATTATCGAATATTTTGATGAAGAATACCTGGTTGCCCGGTCGAATGTGAATATAGGTAGTTCAAATAAGTTCATTTGAATGAATACCTCCACATAAGAATGCTATGAATTCTGTAGAAAAGAAAGGAAAAAAGAGAGAATCTGTAAAAGAAAGTGATATTGCATAAGAGCTGATGTCAGAAAATATGGAGCTGGAGAACTGGAAGAAAAAGATTGAGATCGAGTTGTTCGTAAATATAAACATATTTTCAATACGTATTCAAGAGTTCCGGAAAATGTAAGTGTTGAGTTTCCTGAAACATTTTCAATGGTAAATTATCGATTATAACTATTATTATCATTATTATTATTCAGTATTTTAATTACAGTAGCAAATATATATTCACAAGTTGCACTGCTGAAAAATGTCATGTTATATGATTCAACATAATGATATTTGTTGAACTGGATCTTGCTTTCTCATCATAGCATTCTACTTTCCTCAGTAAATAAATCTAAATTCCAACAGCATGGTCACTTCGAATAGGTCATAACGCTGGGCACTTGTAGCGACTATGCCTACTACTTTGTCACAACCATAGCTCAATCGTCACAACCATAAAATGTCCACTATGAAAAATTGAATTTACAGTGTTCTATCTTGAGTTTTGTTCATCGGAAATACTGAATGAAGTATCTATATGTATGGGTTGAAATCTTTCCCATTCATGAGATTCAAGATAATCACACATTCCAACACATTCTGGTAGAGTTATAAAAAACTAATCCTGTTACTAAAATCTCAATTTTTTTTCTGAAAATGTTTCATTCGACTTTTCACATCGATAGAGAGCATCTCAGACAATGTCGTCGACTTTCGAAAGAGAGATATTTCAAATAATTTCCATGTTTTTCTCTGATATTTCTTTTTCTTCAAAATCCAGTTTTATCACTGAAAAATATTTGCCAGTTACCGCCCATTTCATTTGTATCCAATGTGAACTAAATATTTAAGGAATCAATTAAGTTCCCTGAAAAAGTTAGGATTTTTCTGACGATCAATATGGTAGCAGGAAAAGATGGTCGACAAAATATGCAATATATTGCATCTTCATCATCTAGGCTCTAGAATTCAAAAACCATTGGTGAGAGAGGTAAATCAGACGAGTTGATTTTTATCTTACTAACCGGAAACAATATGTAATATTTATGGCGTGGTGAGCGGTTCGCGTATCAATATTTTTTTGTCACACAAGAAGAAAAACAGGTTTCAGTAGTAGCTAACAGTAATAGATCAGAAAAGTTTTGGCTGGTTTCCATGTTTTGCCGTATTCTTTGATAACAATCTCCAAAACTACGGCAAAACCCGGAAACCAACCAAAATATTGATTCCAGCCGTAAAATCCTACATTTCTATTTAAGTCAGGATCATCTTCAGCTATGCGGATGATATGGCAATCCTCTATAGTGCAGATTCTTGGCAAGACCTTTTATAAAAAACAGAAGATGACTTAGAACGAATGGAACAACAAACTGCTCCTCAATTTGGAGAAAAACAACTACTTAAGTACCATTCACATCGTAGTCAAACAATCTATCGTACATGAGGCCTTTGAGCAACAGAAAAACATTTATTCTGGAGACAAATTCTATAGAATATTCAGACTGTGATTGATCGTTATTCGAAATGGAAACTATTTTCTGAAAAACTGTTTCGAAATCCCTTGTCTAAAAACCTTGTTCCATGGACTGATGCAATCACAGCTCACAAATAGGGTTCTTGGATAAGTTAGAGTAAATAATACAAACATTGAGTGCTTGAACATTGTACAAAATGAAATCTGAAAGGTGTATTGGGAGAACCAAGAACGTTTTCAAATGACGAGTTATATAAGGAAAGCGGAATGTCTGACAATCTGGAACCTATTACCAGGAAACAAGAAAAAAAATCAATAATCATGAAGTTTTGTGCAAAAATCAATATATACTCCTGATCTATCCCATACTGAAGTTCTGTTTTCATTGGTTTTTATTGAATTTTCCAAATTATACAAGCTCAAATAAATTGACTTGTGGTTCTTACCCAAAACTCCATAATGAATATAGGATAATGAAAATGACATTTATCTGAAATCTACCAGGTTTTTCATTTGTTGCGACAGGTTTCAATCTGTTGGATGTTCTTCAAATAAATTGACACATTTTCCACAAACAAAATGGTACTTGCAAGAGGTACCTGCAATAAAAAATGTTACTTGAATCAATAATACTGATACTGAAACAATAACAATTCAAAATTATCAACTATTGATCCAAAAACCCTAATTGTAGATCACTCCAAATGCCAATGGATGCTGAAATAGTTTTCAAAATTTACAAATTCCAAAGAGGAGAGCTGCATAGTTCTAATTGGTCATTGAGGGTTTTGAATTTGCGACTTTTATAAAATAAAATTTGCAATGCTCCCAATAAATTCATTTTCTTTTCTTCATTGCACCTATGGAGAATTTTCATGGTTTTTTTCATTTATTCTGTGGTTTGTTTCTTGTAGATGTCCATATTCAGCTGATTTATCATCTGATAATACATGGTCATGGTATCTTATGTTGAAATTTCTACCTGCCTGGCCTGTATAAGCTGCTAAACAGTCAACACATTCTATTCTATATATGCCCAATTTTTTCTACTTATTCGTTTTATATTTTGAGTTGAATAATATGTTCCTTAAATTAATCTTACCAGTATATGATGTTATTATGATGAATTTTGAAAAATAGTTCTTTATGTTTTTGGAGAGCTTTCCCTAATAGCTTATGTTAGGACATTCTTCAACTTCTTTAGATTTTTCATGATTTAAATATAGCTCGTTTCTGATAAATTTTTAGTTCCTATTGGAGATCAGTTACTCAATTGAATTGCATGTTGTGATCTCCATTTCTTCTTGAAAAACCTTTTCTGATGACGGAATCATAAATGTTTCATGTATCATTGATATTAATGCAGATAATTCATGTGATAATGAACTGAAAGAATCCATGAGAATTGTACAGTCAGTAACAATGTTCTTCGACATATGTTGAACTGAAACTCATTATTGATTTTTGTAAAAGCGAGATCAAGAAAGTTAATGGTGTTGTTTTGTTCAATTTCGACCGAGAATTTTATATATGATGGAATCGGTCGATACTTGATGAAAATCCATAACTAACGTATTCTAAAAACACTTTATTGTGTGATTTTCACTAGACAGTTTTACAAAAACGCAACACGTGTTTCGCCATACAATGGCTTCCTCGGACGTGTCATTAAGACACGCCCGCAACACGTGTTGCGTTTTTGTAAAACTATCTAGTGAAAATCACACAATAAAGTGTTTTTAGAATATGAGAATTTTATCTCATCGTGGAGCCATCAAAATCCACAAGGATATCATCTAGATATCTAAACCAGGCATTATTTAGGATACGCGTGTTTTCCAAGTCCAAATTAGAAAAAAGGTATTTTCTTTATTCTATATTCAGTAGTTTTTTGAATGTAAAAACCAATTCAACAGTTGGAAATTATCTTGTGGCGGAGGGGTATGACTTCAACCACCGAAATGGAAAAGTTTGAAACTCAATCAGTTAAAATGCTTGAAAATTTATAGAAAATGAACGAATAGAATTGGAATCTTTCCTTCATCTGAATCTCTTTCACAATATGTAATTTGTTGCTGAGTTTATCACATGTCTATTGACTCAGTTAAACTTTTATGATGTTTGAGATATGAATCAAGTTTTTTTTCAAAATATCAGAAACGGCAGAAATGTACTTTTTATATTCATTTCATTTTGAAGAATGTTTTCATTTCAGTGCAGGCAATAACCAAAAACCGTGTATTTCCCAAACTAACATCTATAGCAACTTCACGAACTCTAGTCGATTCTCTATTAAAAAACCTTGTTACGTGACTAAAATCACAAAATCCTGTCTAGAAGTCTCCCATTAGACTTTCCATTTCAACAGCGATTATCTCACTGAATAATATCTTTCAATCTCAACTGTCGAACAGGAGGTATTTCAAAGAATTTCCCCGACCCCCGCTGCGATCTCTCCATTGGGAAGTTCATAAATTTTGTGAGCCGTCGTTCAGGGAATGCGTGGAATATCTAAAGAGGCGAATTAAACTGACAGCCTCCAGGCGAGTAGACGATACTGCAGTAGTTATGCAGGAACAGAAATGGACCTTTCCCAACAATTCCGCTCAGATCAACCAAATTGACGAGGAGTGCAAAAAACAGCGCAGGAAAGACGATACGTTAGCTGATCCTTTTGAAGGTTTGTGGGTTTGGTGAGCAAATAATAATTGAGACAAGTTCATTCTGTTGGAGATTATTCGGAAGTGTGTTCTAAAGGAAACGAAAATTATTACACTGTGATGCCACCCTGAAATGTTAACCAATTTCGATCTAGATAATATTTCCATTTCTAGACCGATTTTGATAGCTTCAGAACGACACTCACAGCCATCCTGGTTCATTACCCATACATTCACTTCGATATCACGATTCGTTTCAAGTTTAAGAATCATTGAATAATTGAACGGTAACATAAATAGCAAATGGTTGAAAAAGAAAAAATGAATCAAGTTTTCCAAATCAATTGTTGCCTTCAGCTTGGATGATAGTTTCCAATCTCCGTTTTCCACACGTCTATGAGCATGATATTTATTCGTGGATGGTCTTTCGCGACTAATCACGCATCCACAACAGTCACAGAAATGCTCAAAAAAATTTGCATCCGAAAATCATGCTTGATCCTTGCATATAACGAATATGTACAAAGAAACAATGATTCATTCACTAATTTATGGATTTGAATCGACTCAATTCGTCAAAATAAATGAATCGCTAGGTGTGTTGAACTTAACAATATAACAGAATTGAAAAAGAAAAAAAAAGAAAGTTAAATAATTAAAGCTATTTCTAATATAATTTCCATCTTACGATATCAGGACTGCATTGAAAACAAGTGTTTCTTGTAGGCCTTCTTGAATCTTTGCAAATTGTAAGATTTGAACATGGTAGGGTCCTGATTGTATACTGAACATATTTGATAAGTATAACTACGCCTGAATATTTCTAATCTGAATATTGGCGGTGAAAGGGTTCCTTTATATCGGATATTTAGATTATGTGTATCGGATCGATAGGTGATTTTTCTGTGCAAATATGAGGGTGTTTTATCGAAAATAATTTTTTTGAAAAATAACAGCAGCATGTAATCTCCTTCTATTACTCATATTTAGCCAACCATTATCTTTTAATTTGTGTGAAATATGTTCTCTTCTGCGGATACCAAATAATAATCGTAAACATGAGTTCTATACTTTTTGTATTTTCGATTGATATTGGCTGGACAAGAATGGACCGTAGAGAACATCTGCATAATTAAATACGGACAGTATCGATGACTAACACAAATTTGATTTAATTTGAAAAGGAAGGAAATATTTACTGCCATATATAGTTTTAAGAGTGAAGTATGCACGTTGAATAAGCTGATTTATGTATTTTTCAAATTTTAAATTGGAGTCCAATATTATACCTGAACTTTTGGCTTCACTTACGTTTTGAAGTACTTCATTTTTTATTACAATATTTACACTATCAGAAATCTCATCTCTTTTGTTTTTGTTGCCAAAAGGAATAACATTAGATTTACTGCAATTAATACTAAGACAGTGATCCTCTGCAACTTCAATGAACTTATTAAGTTCCTCATTTATAAGGTCACATGACTCTACTACCGTACTGGGGCGAAAACTATAATAAATTTGATTGATTTGATCCGCATTGTACATTAAAAATCTGAAGAGTTTTCACTAGGCAGGAGGTATATATAGCAAAAAGCAATGGCCCCAAAATGAAACCCTGGGGAACTCTACATTTCAAATCCATATAGTTTACTACCCCTAAGGTATGATGCCATGAGATTCTTAGCATTATTCGACAGTCCTATATAAAGTAGAATTTCAAGCAGTAAATTATGGTTGATAGTATCAAAAGCTCTGCTGAAATCTAACATGATCAAAACAGTACACTCACCTTTATCCGTAGCTCGTACAATATCATCAATAATATGGAGGAGTGCCGTTGTACAACTATAATTTTTCTGAAATCCAGACTGCGTTATAGGTATTAATGAAAACTGATCAATATGTGTCTTTAATTGTACTTCTATAGCCCTTTCGAGTATTTTCGATAAAGTTGGCAGGATACTTATTGGACGCAAGTCTTTGAATTCAAGTGGATTTGACTTTTTAGGTAATATTTTCACAACGGCTCTTTTCCACAGTTCAGGAAAAATATTATGAGTAATACAAAAATTTACAATGTGTGTGATGTGAGGAATTATATGCGGACAGCATAATTTCAATAGTTTTAAATTTAATCCATCTTCACCAGCAGCATTTGTGTTAATAGCATTTATTGTTTGATGAACAAATAAGTCATTCACTTCTTGAAATTCAAAATCTGATTCTACAATCTTTCTGTGTTTGTATGACAAAAGTAATTGCTCAGAAGGTTCTTTCGTAACACAAGAATTGATATAGAATTGATTTATTTCAGCAAGACTTTTCAAATTATCTGCGACTGCGCTTGACTTGTTAGGTATAAAGTTTATGAGCCCTCAAAGTATTCCAAAGACTTTTAGAATTTTTATTACTGAGCTGGTATGTAAAAAATGCTTTTTTCTCTCTTCTAACAGCAGAATTTGTGTAGTTCCTCATGTCCTTATGAAACTGAAGGTGATGCACAGATTTAGTTCTCTTATACCTGTTCAGCGCTTTATCACGTATTATCAACATTTCTTTGATAGCGCCAGTTAACCAAGTAGCTCTGGGCTTCGAAACACGCGATGTTATTAGAGGCAGATGTCTATCAAACAGGCAAATCAGACAGTTGATTGAAAATGTTATTTTTTCATCAACCCTTTCCTGATCATATATTCTAAAAAAAATGAATGAGGAATGAACCCAGCTTGCATACAAAATAGGTTTGAGTGTCATTCAAAAGTTGTATTCCATCACAGGTTGTTTTCAACCTGGAAGATATGTTTCTATCATCTTTGTTTCTTTGTATATTGTGTACACATGTATACAATTGTGACGAATATTCATTCATAAAACTAATGAGTATCTACCCAAAGCGCACAAAATATGTAGTGGATTTGGGAAAAAAGATTTTGACAATTCACTTCTCTGTCTCAATACAAAAAATATAAGAAACTTCCAATCGTTTTTGTAATAAACTCTTCAAAAAATGTCTAGATCATGCATACAAATAACTTTCAGATACGAACTGAAAAAAAATCCCTCTTGACATAACTACTATCAAAAAAATATTGAATTACACGAAATAAAAAGTATTCCCTAAATATCCTTGTAAATAGTTCATTTCGTAATCATTCGCGTTTTTCTTGTGAGAATTTTTAACATTTATTGCATAGAGATGAAGCAATAGAGAGCCAAAACGTACTATACTCTTCTAAAATAGTATCCCTATCAATTTTAATGTTGTGAATAGTTTTATTATCATAGGGATAGTTATATTTCAACCAATTTACATAAATAATTATTGAATTATGCAAGTGGAGCTTTCTTTTGCACCATTCTGTCTATTGGTGAGAACTGTATGAGAATTCGTTCGATAGAGTTTTAGTTTTCATGTCATTTAGACAGACAGACAGACACGTCATAATGTAAATATAGTGATTTTGAAACATGAGGTCATTTTGTGGATCTTATCGAAAGTCATCAATGTAAAAATGAGTTAAAGAAATACTTCCAAATATTGATGGAATCAATTCAAATCGAAACAAGATAGAAAAACTATTCGTTTTTCTAAAATCAGAAATTCTGTTTATAGTACCCTACATATTATTACTGGATGACGGCTCTTCCAATCAAACAAAGCCTTCTTTCCACTGAATATCTACAAAATCTGTTAAAGAAATATGTCTCTTGAAATCTGTTTTCCCGTTAACCCCGGAAGTTGTGCGAGCTAAGGACTAATGGGGTCTTACCTTTCACTCGTAATATGTAGCATGGGTTGGACGATAGCAAGTAGAAATCGATGGTTTGGCCTCGCGGCTTGAACCACCGATTCACACAATGGTCGACTGAGTGAGTAGGGCAAACCACTCACGTTAACCCGACCGGCTACCGTCCTACCATACACAACTATTCCAAAACATGAAAATCACTTCAGCTTCTACGGTATGGTTATCGTACACTTTTCAAATGTTATTACTTGAGAAAATTATACTTTAAAATCAAAATCTCAAGATGTGAGTGCCAAAAATATACAGAATAAAGTATACTTACCTAGTGAATTTTTTTTTCATCAATTTTTTCGCATTCGATAAAAATAAACGAACCTGATATCACGACTCCTCAGAATAAACTCTCCAGCCTGTTTCATAATGATATTATTAATGTTTTTGTTAAAGCCTTATATCAGCAAACCAATCTGGTTTTCATTTACCCGTTCTTGATTTCCATCACCCTTCGTATATGCCCTCACATAGTCAGCACTCTCAAAATATAGACTTTCCCAACCGATTTTCTCCATTACCCTCATAACGTTAGTTCCTTTGGCAATAAAAGCAAATTATCCTGTTTCCCAGGTCCTTTGGAGCGTTTCCAATGGAGAGCCACAGCAAGTTATTACATGTGCTGGTACACGATGAGCAAGATATCGGATATGGAGCACCTTTCTGAAAGCTGCGATAATTTCGCCAACTGCTTGGATACTAATCTCGGAAGTAACAACCATGATAAAAGGGCCGATGATTCGAAAACATTCAGGTCAGTGAGTTTTCGATAAAATAATGGAACAGTCGAAGTTGAGAGAGTTAGAGTACAGAAAATAATCTCAGTAATTTCACCAAGATGGTGAATTATAAATACTATCAGCCGATCATCAATTCAAAAATTATATATTTCGTAAAAAAGAAAAATAATCAAAACTATTTTGAATGACCGATGAAATCGACGAAACTCCTTCCTTTTTAATGATTCAGAAGAAATAATGAAACAGAAAAACAAGAAAAGTGATTTTTGTGAGATTGAAGTTCTCAATCGATGATAATGATTTCGGGTGGATGTTTTGATCTAGTTTGTATCTTTAAATCTGTGATCAACAAATCTTGCTGAATGTTATTCCATTAATTTATCAATTTGATATGCATCTTTTTTTGTGAAAATCCATACTAACTATATATTGATAAAGAAGTAGAGAGGCAGATATTCTTCAAAGAAAAAAACTAATTATAACAGTTTATTTTATGATTTTTACTATGAAGTGAAGCTTTATAATGAAAATCATACAATATTCTCATAAATAAGCTTCTACTTTTGTAATTCGTTTTGCAAAAATTGAGTACCTGAAGGGAAAAAATCTTCTATCGAACAAATTTCCCATATTTTCAGTTGTGCTGCATACAGTTTTTGTCCCGATCCTTGCTGTCCTTTCAAACATTTGACTCGAATGGAAACCTGCTGGAATTCGCCGGATAATCCTTGTTTCCGGGGTAATCCGGATGGCCAAAGGGAATGTTCGTTTAATTTGTCACGAAATACGGAGTTTAGGTGAGTTTTTTCATTAGATACATCTACTTCATCATTTGTGTCTGTTGTTGATAGGATTATGCTTGATGAGTGTCTTCCACTAAATTAAATTATCATATTATGAAGAGTTGGGAGAAGTTGTGCAAGATATTCCATTAGTCATAGACATAACTACGTACAGATAAAAACGCACCAGTCAGATTTTTCTCTGAATATATTAGACCAACAGTATGATTTTCCGATATTCCTGACCACATTTTTTTTTCAGTAGGTTGAGTGTAACCTTGAAAGATTTGTGGGTTTATGTCTGAATACTATTGCACATTTTTCGGTTGACATTTCCGTTTGAGTAAATAGTGCATTCGTCATCAAAATAAATAATTTTCAGCATGCAGTTTTGATTTACAATCGAACGTTCGGACAAGTACTCACAAAACTACATTCTTTTGTCAAAATCATCTTCATTCAGCTCATGTAATTGATTTCAATATGTTTCTAGCTGTAGCTTCAGCTTTAGCTCTAGCTCTGCCTCTAGCTTCAATTCTTACTCCATCTCTTGCTCTAGACCTTCATATAGCTCTGAATCTAGCTCAAGCTCAAGGTCTAGCTCAAGCTCTAGTTCTAGCTCTACATATAGATCCAGATCTAGATCTGGCTCTAGATTCAGTTCTAGCTCTAGTACTAGCTCTTGCTCAGCTCTAGCTTCATCTCGAACTATAGCTCTAGCTTCAGCTCCAGCTCTAGCTCTTGCTCTAACTTCAGTTATGTTCCAGTCGTTTCAAAATAAAATCTTGCTTTGAACGTTTTTTCTGCCTCGAAAAAGTCACCGCCGGCTTCGGCGGTGAGTTTCTCTAAAGATCCGGTGTGAACTATTTTTGAAAATGTACACTGAAAGGAAGTACCAATAATGAAAGTTGTCAAGCCTGTCACTAGGGCATCGCGGTGTGGATTCTCATGTATATAGTCGATCACAATAAAACCCTAGATCGGATTGAAAACAGGAATAATTTTTTTCTATCGAATACTTTGGATCAATTTTATTTTGAATAATAGTCATTTCCGTGACTAAGGAATAACGAGGTCTTACCTTTTAACGTGTGATTCCGAACACGGTTGCAGAATCATCCCAGCTCCAACCAAATGAATTCTCTCGAGGAAGATACTGGTCGAGGCAGGAATCGAACCCACGGCCTTCCGATCTTGAACCGGGCGCACTACCCCCGCGGCCACTTTCACAACGTGAAGTGAAAGACGTGAAGTGAAAGAAAAAATATTCAGGTAGATAATACACTGATCAGCAAAAAGTGTTGAAGAATAAAGTTATTATAATATTCTGGCTCCACTAGGCGGAGTCAATGTTCTCACGTTAAATTGATGGCTCAAAAAAATAGACTTCCTGGTCATCAAAACCAGATAGAACCGGTTAAGATGAAACTTCAGTGAAGGAAATTCAGCTCTGGACTAGCATAAAAGGCACCTAAGATGTTTTTTTTTGTCCTGATCCATCAAGAGAGAGGAGCGCAAACATCCTGAGTTTCCATGACTAGATAGAGACTACAGAAACGGTTGAACAGAGAAAGTAATCCATTTTCGGAACAATGATAATCTGTAAGGGAACATAGGTATCATAACCAACAAAAACACTAATGAAACTTTCTTATTAGTCAGTGGGCTATGCTTGTAGGATATACCTACACAGTAAGTTCAATGGACTGACGCCTATCATAAAACGAATACTCCCCTGGCTAATACCACGAAAAGCTTTGGATTATATCCGACAGACGTTAGTGCAGGAATCTTCAAAGAAAAAATTCTGCATATGCAAATAGCGATATAACTAAAAGAGTCGACCTTCAATTTCGGAACTGGCATACTTGCAGATCGGTTTTGGGCTCATTAGCCACTCGTCAGTGGTTAATTTCGTTAGTACCTCATCCACTAGATGGAGTGACATTTTGTTGTTCGCTCCAACTTGGAAAGAGGAATGAAATACTTTGAAAAAATTCCGATTTTCAATTATGGAATATCATTGACTTCAGGTCGATATTGGCCACTATCTTACACTGAAGAGTGACTAATGAGCCCAAAACCGGTCTTCAAGTGTGCCCGTTCCAAAACTGAAGGTCGACTCTTTCAGTTGTATTGCCAATTGCATATGCAGGCAATTTTTTGTGGAGATTCCTGCACTGACGCCTGTCGGATATAATCCAATGACCTTCGTGGTATTAGCCAGAGGAGTAGTTGTTTTCTGATAGGCGTCAGTCCATTCGGGGTATTCGAGACTGGCTTGAACGTTTGAAGTTCATTTCTTTAGATTCACTTATGAAACTCTCAACACGAAATTATATGAGTATATAATGAACGAATCTGAATTACCATGATGGTTTTGATTGCCTCACCACACACTGCAGTTAATAACGTGTTTCAAACTCTGCTTCACCAACAGGAATGAGTTCATGACTGCCATTCAGACTTATTTCATTTTTGTTAATACAATTGACTGATAATGTTTTCTGAAACAATGTAAGTGGTAATGATTTTTCTCTTTCTTAATGAAGACTCATTCATGAATGTAGTATTGTGAAATACACATAATTATTTCATTCTGAAATCATTTGCACAAACTGAATTCGACTTTCACATAGCTCCTTTTTCTTTCGAGAACCACCATTTTGACCAAGATCAAAAAATCCCCAATATCCTTTATGTCCCCACACAATTCCTCGACTCAATAGGGGAGTTTAATGAAGTAATCAACCAATTTCAGCAATATCGTCTGGAACAGATGGAACGTGACTTGTCGGTGTCCAAAACCCGGCTACGAATGGAATTCTCGCTACGGAATTTGTATAGATGTGAATGAATGCACATCGAAAACTCATAACTGCCGTGAGGAATCGGAAGCCTGTGTTAATTTGCCGGGTGGATTCAGGTGAGAGATAGTAGGGAAAAGGGGCTTGTCTTCATTCGTGGTCGTATTCGTATTATACGGAAGCTCAGAAGTAACACTATTTTTAATAACTATGTCTTGGACATGACGACTTCAAACTCTAAATTTCTGCTTCGAACTCCAAATTACAAAATTAAAGTCGACATGTCGAGTTCAAAGTCGTCATTTTGGGTTCAAAGTCATAATTCAATTGAAATTTTGAAATTGAAGTCAAAATTTCGAGATAAAAGTCGAAATTTCAAAACGTTTTGAGATTGAAGTTGAAATTTTGAGTTTTGAGGGGTAATTTTGGGTGAGGGCGATGACATCTCCTCGATAGGACAAGCCTATGTCACTGAGGATAATGGTATTCTCCCTTAGGGGATGACATTTTCTCTTACGGAAAGATGTCATCGTCCTTATGGAAATCACGACTTCAATTTCCAAATTACGACTTTCAACATGATATTTGGACTTTTATTCGAGTATGAAGTTCTAACTTCAAAATCCTGAATCCGAATTCTGAGGTCAAAGTCGAAATTTGAAGTTTCAAGTCGTAATTTCGAAATTGCAATCGAAATTTCGTGTATAATGTCAAATTTTCCAGATTGAATTCGAAATTGAAGTCGAAACTTCGAGTTCAAAGTCGTGATTTCGATTTTGTAGTCAAAATACAGTTGAAATTTCGAGATTCAAGTCGACATTTCGTGATGAAATTCAAAATTTCGAAAATGGAGTCGTAATTTTGATATTAAAGTTGAAATTTTGAGTTTCAAGTGGTAACTTCAGGTGAGGGCGATAACATCTTCTCCTATCAAAACGACATCTATGAGATCGACAGAGAACTCAATTCTCGAAAATCAAAGATAAACGAAGCTTCCCAAGGCGGTCAGTTGGAAAGTCAAATTTCGACATTGACCTCCGACAAGTTGGAAGGCAACTTAGTTGCAAACAAGATACCAAACACAGTGCATCCATTATTCAATACCATATTGCCTTACTCAGGGCTGTTTCGACAGAGCCTAGGACAAGCCTATGTCAGTGAGAATGATAACATCCTCCCGTGAGGGAGGATCTTATCATATGAGGGAGGATGACACATTTCCTTACGGAAAGGTGTCATCGTCCTTTTGGAAATCACGACTTCAATTTCCAAATAATGACTTTTAACCCGAAGTTTGGACTTTTATTCGAGTTTGAAGTAGTAACTTCAAACTTCTAAGTCAAAATCCTGAGATAAAAGTCAAAATTTCGAGTTTAATGTTAAAAATACGACTTCAAACTCGAAATTACGACACTCAAGGATGACTTCAATTCAAAATGTCTAGATTGATGTCGAAATTTTGTGTTTGAAGTATTAACTTCAAGATTGAAGTCAAAATTTTGATTATGAAGAGGTAATTTCGAGAATGAAGTTGGAGTCTCGAAACTGAAGTCAAAATTTAGAATTTGAAGCTGTAATCTTGAGGTTGAAGTTGAAACTTCGAGTTCCGAGTCGTGAAGATTCTCCTTACAATGAATGTTGTCATCGTCCTTATGGAAATTACGACTTCAATTTCGATATTACGACTTCAAACTCGATATTTTGACTTTCATCCCAAAATTTCGACTTTAGACTCAAAATTACGACTTCAAATTCGAAATTATGACATTGGGGAACGACTTAGAATCAGAATTGTTTAAAGTGTCAACTTCAAGATTGAAGTCGAAATTTTGATTTTGAAGAGGTAATTTCGAGAACGAAGTCGGAATTTCGAAATTGAAGTCAAAATTCAGTATTTAAAGCTGTAATCTTGAGGCTGAAGTCAAAACTTCGAGTTTCAAGTCGTGAAGATTCTTCTTACAATGAATGTTGTCATCGTCCTTATGGAAATTACGACTTCAATTTCGATATTACGACTTCAAACTCGATATTTTGACTTTCAAACTTTAAACTCAAAATTACGACTTCAAATTCGAAATTATGACATTGGGGGACGACTTAGAATCAGAATTCTCAAACTATAGTCGAAGTTTTTAGTTTCATGTCGGAACTTTGAGATTGAAGTCAAAAACTTTGATTTCAAAGTGGTGATTTCGTGAATGAATCGAAGTCTCGAAATTGAAGTCGAAATTCAGCGTTTAATCTAGAGATTGAAGTCGAAATCTTGAGTTTGAAGTCGTAATTTTGAGATCGAAGACGGAATTTCGAAATCAAAGTAAAAATTTTGAGTTTAATGCCGAAATTACGGGATTTAATTTAAAATTTTGAGTTTGAATTTGTAACTTTCGAATTGAACTCAAAATTTTGATTATGAAGTGGTGATTTCAGAAACTGAGTCAAAATTATGAGACAACAGTCCAATTTTAAAGTTTAAGTCGTAATTTCGAAAGTATTGTCGAAATTTCAAGTTTGAAGTCGAAATTTCTATATCGGAGTCAAAATTTCGACAGTGAAGCTGAAGTTTCGAATTTCAAAGTCGTTATTTCCAAGAAACAATGGAAATAAATGGCATTCCTGTGCTACCGAAGTATAATGAAGTTCACAACAAATTTTAGTGTTGATCAAAATTGAGCATATGTTAAAATATTACATCACTTTGAATATACATATGCCTATTATAGATGATTTTTATATTCCAAAAATCCTCAATAAACGATGTGACTTCTTTGTTAAATCATTTTGAGCAATGTGTTCTTCATACACATTTGAAATTTCATTGTTCTAATAACTGTGAAATAAAGTTACTTTACGAGGTATTGATTGTAAAATTCCACATTCGTTCTCTACACATCTACGACATCAATCATCCTCCAAGAATAATTATCATATGAAGAATTATATTCACTAGCTGGAGCTGAATAGAAGCAATGGTATTAGATAACTTACAGAACATTGAATTGGTTTTGATGATTCTCATAAACGACTTATCACCAACTACATATTAAAATATTCATCCAATGAATAAAAACATTTTTCAATTAAAAATTTTTTCAGTATCTTGTTGAATTTCCTACATTCATTGACATTTTTCATATCGTGGGGTAGTCTGTTATAGATTCTCAGCCCCATATGATCAGGTGAGTTATAAGTGATTTTATATTTGCAAAATGGAATGTGAAAGTGATTTTTTGACGAGTGTTAACGTCATGCAGGTTTGCATTTCTGTTGAATTTAGTTTTATTTTCATGAACATAATTACAAAGTTCATATATGTAGAGTGAAAATAATATGTTATATTTAACAAACAGTCCACAATTCTTACAACTCTTTTTTACATGATAAAAACGTCATTTATTGAAGTGGAGTTGGCATACAAACAAATTCCATACCTGATTCGAGATGCTACTTGGGAGTGATATAAAGATAGTAGTTGAGGCTCCTCCAGGACCTGCTTGAGACTTCTGAACATATAGCATTAAGAATTCAATCTTTTATTCAAATAAGTGCAGTGACTTATCCAGTTCATATTTTCATCGACAACTAGTCCGAGAAATTTTACTTCGTTTATATTACATATTAGTGTGTCACTAACGCAAACATTTAATGAAAGACAATTTTTTTGCCAATTATGAAATTTGACGATTTGGGTTTTTGTTGCATTCAGATATAAAGAATTTAGGCTACCCCTGTTTATAGAACTGAGAACTTGTTCGCATTTCTGTTGTGCTGCAATTTCATCCTTGTCCGATATTATCACAGAAGTATCATCAGCGTACATGGTAGCAAGAATCCCTGCAAGGTAATTCTCAAGATCATTGGTATACAATAAAAATAAAATTGGCCCCAATATAGACCTTTGTGGAACTCCCATGTTAACCACTTTAGTTTCAGAATTAACGAATGTGTTTGCTCCGGAAATACGTTCCGAAATACTGAGTACGTTCAGTTAAGAAGGAAGAAATCCAATTAAAAGCAGAGCCTTTGATTCCATAGTTGTACAACTTCGATAATAAAAGCTGATGATTACCACAGTCGAATGCCTTGCTGAGATCACAAAAGACCCCAGCAGGGCATTCTCCTGATTCCAAATATTCAATAACTTGGTTAAAGAACGAAATTGCAGCCGTATTCGTTGAATGATTAATTCTAAACCTATGCTGATTTTCATTTAAAATATTAAAAACATCCAAAAATTTCAACAACCGTTCAAGGAAAGCATATTCAAAGATATTTGAGAAGCTTGACGTTATTGTTATGGGACGATAGTTATCCATTTCGCTAGTTGAACCCTTTTTATGAATTGGGTAAGCACTTTACGTTATAGGAATGATCGTTCGTAAAACCTTAACGAAACATTCTTCTCACAAATTCATAAAATTCAAAATACATATAATGGCATCAATGAATCAACACAATGTGGTACAAAAATGTAACAAAGTAAAGAAATCGCCAATTAACGTCATGTAGCCCAAGAAATTTAATTATTCGCCTTGTTTTTTCACCAGCCACGTATGTTTAACCATAATTTCTTAATTATTTCCGTACAGATGTGTTTGCAGATGGGGATATATCTGGATTGAGAAGGAAAAAAAATGTTTGCCGAGTGCCATTTTATCATTACTGAAACTGGGGAGAAAAACTGAAAACGTAACAAACAAAAGTGAAACTCTCCTGAAAAAAATAAGAAAATTTTTCAAAAGGAATTCCGGCACAACAATCAACAATCAAGCCGTTAAAATAATCTATTTATTTTTGATAGAGATGCTTGTGAAGTTTCAGTGAATTGTTATTACTTATTTCTGATGTACTCTCTATGAGAATGAGATAAAATAATAATCTGTATGAACAAATTATCATGAAGACATTTTTGTTAAGGTTGTTCAATGACAACTTTCTACTGGCAATTTCCGTATTTTTAATTTCTTTGCATAGTATAGAAAGCTTATGAATGAGAAATCTGATAGAACTGACCGATAATAACGTATTCAATAAAACACACTTCAATGTGAGATTATCACCTGAAAGTTCACAAAACCGCGACACGTGTTTCGCTATACAGTAGCATCTTCAGGCATCACAATACTGTGACACACGAAGCGAAACACGTATCGCCTGTGTTTTTCTCGGACCCAATGATCACTTATCCCACGGTGTGAGGAGTGGTCATTGGTTGATAATGCCGACATGCCCTCCCGAATGTATCGGGACTTCGGGGGATAGGGCCTTACCAGCGCACGCTACGGTTGAAAATGATAATAATAATAATAATAATATGGTTCATCTCAAAAGAGGACGATGCGGGGACTACGGAGAGGATGTGCAGCTCGTAGATGGAAGCATCCTACATCATCTGGATGCCGGAGAGACGTATACTTACCTCGGGGTGGAACAACGCCACTCACAAGAGGTAACCGCAGTGAAAAACTCTCTCCGCGGCAAGTATCAGCACAAACTTCGACAGATCTGGTCATCGGAGCTGTCGGGGAAGAACAAAGTTGCTGCAACAAATATGCTTGCCGTTCCAATCTTACTCTACTCGTTTGGAGTAGTGAAGTGGACTCGGGAGGAGCTGTATCAACTCGACGTAAGGACCCGAAAAATGATGCATCTCTATAGGAGTTTGCATCCCAAATCGTCCATTCCACGGTTGTACTTCCTCCGACAACAGGGAGGTCGTGGACTTTTGAGTTTGGAGTGTCTACATGACAGAATGGTACTGGATACAGCCTGTAAAGACGTCAGGAGTTCGGATCCCCTTCTCTGCATGGTCCGTGACCATGAGAGAGCAGGAATTGGAGCATTTCTCCTTAGGGCAGCTGCTCGAGCAGCTGATGAACTCGGTATAGTTTTCGACTCTGAACGAGGTGACTACAACTCTGTCACCGAGTTGGAACCCGTTCAGCAAAAAGCTCAGATAAAAGCCGCAGAGATCACCTTACTATTGCGGAGACACAGGAATAAGCCAATGCATGGGGTCTTCTTCAATAATATTGAAGACCTCGGCTTATCAAAGCGCCTGACGTTCGCTTTTCTCAGGTCGAGTGGGCTGAAGTCGGAAACTGAGGGGTTCATCATGGCTTGCCATGATGGTGTCTGCAACACCTCAGTCTACCGCAGTCGAGTGATGGGTATAGAGGTTCCTGACAGAAGGTGCAGGGCCTGCCGCGAGGCGCCCAAGACCCTAATGCACTTGCTATCAGCATGTCCAGCATATGCGGTCTCGACCTATATCCATCGACATAACGCGGCCCTGAGAGTGCTATACTACCATCTGCGGCACTCTTACGGTATTGACGAGACACCGGTGTTGCCCTACGCTCCGAGGGAAACGAGAAGTGCCAAATTTATTGGAACTATTGGTTCCACACATTCAAGCTCATGCAAGCTAATGAGCCTGATGTAATCCTTCTCGACCACCAGACCAAGACGATATTTGTCGTGTAGTTTTCAGCTCGTGGCGAGATGAATATCGTCAGAAAAGAGGAGGAAAAACGGATAAAATATCGAGATTTTCTCTTCGAACTCCGCAGACTCTATCCAGATCACTCTGTCAAGATGGTTGTTCTGATTATTGGAGTCCTTGGTGGAATGATGTCTTCTCTATTCTTGAATCTCAAAATCATACCGGCTTGCCGCACTAAGGCAGAACTCTTAGCCGCACAGATGCAGAAGGCTGTCATTCTTGGCTCACTGCGATTGCTCAGGGCACATGATTATCGGACCCAATGATCACTTACCTCACGGTGTGGGGAGTTGTCATTGGTTGATAATGCTGGTGCCCCCTCCCGAATGTATCGGGGCTTCGGGGGATAGGGCCTGACCAGCGCACACTACGGTAAAAAAAAAATCGTCTTTATTCATCTGTGAGCACACATCTGAAGAGATAACAATAACAGGTATTCAACAAAGATAAAGAGGCGAAGTGTCACCCGAGGGTGTTTTTCAACTTAACCATGGAAATACAATTTTAATTTACAATTTTCTTAAATATCTCAGCTATAATATCTACGCTGAGTATAATTCTATCACATTGTAAAGTAATTTTGCTGTCTGAGATCTATCAAACTAATTAGTACATTAAATTCATTAAGTGATTGACTGATCATTATCCGTTCTGCAGATGCAGAGTTCTACATTTGTGAATAATATTGAGCTAATAATAGGGATTTCATTTTTTTTTTTTGAAGTTCATCACAGTATATGTGCTGTAATCATGCGGAAGTTGATTATAAAACTCACCGGCATTGTAGGTGAAGGATTGCTGAAAAATACAGTACTTTATGAGTCATATTTAATACATGTAATTTTCTCATATCTAGCAATTTCAGTTTTTGCCTTTCCCGATATTCATGACTAACGTGCTCATATTTGCGTATTCCGAAGGAAAGGCCAATACAGGAATTCTGTATTTTTTGAAGTCGACTACTGTCAGCACTCAGAAGTTCGTGTCCATAAATATAGTCACAGTAAGGCAGTTTCGATAATATTAGGGATTCACAAACACGAATTTTCAAAGCGGAACTCATGAATTGTCTACTTGGATAAAGTTGTTTGAGTGTATATGAACCTCGGCAAAATTGAATGACATGTTTTGTGAATCTCAATTCATTGTCTATCCAGAGTCTTAGGTACTGGCTTGGTTACGTTTGAGCTTCGGTCCAAAAAACAATGCACTGGACTTACTCGCGTCCCACTCCAGATTATGTGCTGTTGAAACATTTATTAAGGAATCCAGATCCGAATTTAAAGCAGCGGTAACATCAGGTTTCACTTCAGTGAAAGATAAGTACAGCTGAGTATCGTCCGCGTAGTGGTGTATGCGGCTGTATTTGACGAATGAATGACAATCTGAGATGTACAAAGATAATAACAGTGGGCCCAATATTGATCCTTGCGGAACGCCATGACTCAAAGCAAGTTACTAATAAAAATCTCATGATCCATAATAGCAAATGCCTTGCTGTAATCCAGCAGGATCAGACAAGTAACCTTTCCTTCTTCAATTGCCCTAAAAATATCATCAACAATATTTGTTAGAGCTGTGGTGGTGGCAAATCCTTCCCTGAAACCAGACTGAATCGGTGGTATAATGTTATCTTTCATTACGTAGTCATTGATTTGATTGTGTAAAATTTTTCAAATGCTTCAGCTAGAACTGACAGGAGATTGATTGGTTTTAAATATTGGTAGGATTCGTTATTTTTGCTTAGGGGATCACGAATGACAATTTCCAAGCCGTAGAGAATGTTGAGTTATTTATGCAATAATTGCATGTGAATATTACATAATCGATAAGAAAATTAGGGATAAAATTGAGCATTTTCAAGGTCACTCAATTTGAGCCCACTGCGTTACTTTTTATTAAGTTTATACCTTCAAGCACTTTCATGCTAACGCGGGAAAACATTAGGGAACAGCTAGTATTCTACGCGGGTGAAGCCGCGAGCAACAACTAGTGATTATCATAAAGTTTTTTCTGTTGAAACAATTGGTATTCAACCAGATTGATTTGAAATATTCAATACCAATATCACAATTCTTTTTTATGTTCAATAATTTAATGAACCATTCTATGAAAGTGAATGTGATGTTTCAAGTTAATTAGTTATTTATTCGGGTCTATTTTTTTATAACATTTCACCATGAATAATTTGCTATTGATTGAATATTTTTGTACATTTTGTTGAAAATAGAAAGTTTTACTATTCAGCATTTACACAAATTTGAACTATTGATTGGATTGAAATTATTGACGGGAGAAGTGAATTTGAAATTCAATATTATTTGTTTCATTCCACGCTAACACATAACAGTACCCTTCAATAATTTCATGAGCAATTAGACAAATGAATGCATCTGGAGTGGTATTTATATTATATGTAATCAATTATTACTACCATGTATAAAAAGGAAGTAATGTATTACCTGCTTTATTATAGTGGAGGTTTTGATGGATTTAATAATTGTTTTCGATAATGAACGATAATGGATTGTGCTGTTTATCATTCATTAAGATGAATAATCCATAAACGGTTCAATATAACAAACTGATACGTGTCATAGAAAAATGTATTGATGATTCCTCTTTCAGTCGACTAATTCAAGACTATTAGACCGTGCTTTCGGGCTCTAATACGAAGGAAGGTCTCGAGAAGGAACTAGACATCATCAAAAATGATCTTCAACGGAATGGCTACTCCAAAGCGATGGTAGAAAAGACTTTGGCTAAAAGACAGCAGGAGCCTCGCAAGGAAGAGAAGCCGTCATAACCAGTGCTTGCACTTTCCTACATCAGAGGATTATCGAAGAGGATGAGAAGAATTGGTTCCAAGTACATCAGAACCTGCTTCAGATCCGGTAACACTAACCGCAGCAGCCGCACGAAAACTAGGCCACCAAACGCGGACTGCGACTCCAAAAATTGCATTTACCGGATACCCTGTGAGTGCGGAAAATCCTATATTGCTGAAACTGAGAGGCCATTAAATGTTCGCATTGCCGAGCACAAGAAACACACAGAGCGAGGGGGAACCAGCAAATCAGGAATAGCAGACCATGTTTGGACCCTTTAACACAACATCGAGTAGTCCCAAGCTGAGATCATACACAGAGAGGAACATTGGTCTAGTAGAAAATTCAAGAAAGCCGCATACATGTTGTCAACAACGTATTCAGCCAAGCTAGCGTAGGGATACGCAACATATGGAAACCCATCATCAAGCGAAAAATGGCCAACTCCCGCCAAACGGTCATCTAACAGTGAACCAGTGAAGCGGAAAAAATGGAAAGCGGTGATAAGTGAAAGTACTCGAACGACCCATAAAT